ATTTCAGCGCAGGAGAACAAGTATTGACGTGCCTGATGAATGATTTAGAAATGTTTATTATACATTTCCGTGCATTTTAAATGCCCCATTAATGTTTTGGAGATCCAGTGTCCTGCTTTAACAAGTTCCTGTACCCCGGAAGTGCTCGATGTTAGCCGGTTCAGGTGTGTTTGAGCACAGTCGGGACTTTGTAGGTAGATCTCCAGAAGTTGGTTGGATTCACTCGTGGAAAGTCTAAAATATGCGTAATGAGTAACGGTAACATTTGCGACTGTGTTTTGACAGTCAATCAGTGTTGCTCCTGCCCTCTTTAGATAGATCTGAGCTGCTCTCTTTCAGGAAGGGTAATAAGATTTATCCCTTTAATTTCTAAGTGTAGTGGCGTAAATTAATGCTTGCTTTTGGAGCTAGAAGATAACTATGAAATTAAGTTTGGCTCGGTTTCTATTTCCCCTTCCTTGTTAGATATAAAATTTATTTGCACAACACAGAAACATGAGCTGTTTCGTTTCTAAATCGGTGTAATATTTCTTTCCCCTCCTCCCTTTTTAATATTTTTCCAAATGGGAATTGCATTCGAAGGTTACATATGTGTAGAGTATATTTAATATGAATCTTATAGAGAACATAACTATAGATTGTTGATATATATATTGGTGTTTAGTGTATGATAGTCTCAAAACAGTTAGCACATTAGCATTTGGAGCAGTGACAGTTTCATGTACTTTAATAGCAGCAAATCCCTCTCTAATTACTGTTCTCTTATTTTTTTTCTTCAAATGTTCATAATTTGATATGTTTTTTTCTTCCTTTTTCTTTTTATGTGGTCTTTGCTTTTTGCTTTTTTAACACCGCACTAGGTCTGATAAATATTGGTCCTTATCAGGGTTCAAATACATACTGTACAGAGCTGAAGTTTTTAAAAAGATAATTGTAAATAAACAAATGCTTCTCATTCTCTAAACTACAAATGCAAATACATCTATAAACTGAATAAAGAATCCAGAATATTGAAGTGAAATACTTGTTGCTTGCTGTGTTCATCTTCAATTTGTTTATAGTTAGTTTGAGTGGGCAAAATTTATATAAGGTAATGTAATCTAATCTAAACAATTTTTAGCACTTTTCTGTATTTTTATTATTCTATTCTATGTTTATGTTTTTACTTACAACACTTGAGAAAACACACGCAAGTAATGTGTATTAATTCTGTATATTTCATTTCTCAGTATAAATTTCACTGTATTTTTCAGAAATTCAGCATATAAATGTGTGTATGTGTGTGTATAATATATGTATGTATGTATGTGTGTGTGTGTGTGTGTGTGTGTGTATGTGTATGTATGTGTATATATGTATATATATATATGTGTGTGTGTGTGTGTGTGTGTGT